TAAGACACATTAGTTGATGTTGAAACACATGACCCTGCCATCTTAAAAAAGGGGCATGACACTTGAAACACTCTGACTGTTGATCAAAGGAACTAACTTGACACCACCATCTTAAAAGGTGCATAGCTTAGAGGAGAAATGTACCCTCTGATTGACTAAAAAGACATCATGTCACACCAGATCCCGGTTCAATTGTTGGTTACTTCTATGAACCTTTTATCCTAGGAAGATTCATCAGTCTGTTACTTGGTAGCATATAATAAAACTAAACCTTTTCATAGGTGCCACCATCTTGAAGAATTACATGCTACATATGCTTTAGAGGAACAGGACACCCCAAAAACAGTCATATTAAATATATCATCAGTAAAAGAGAGGCATGGCTAAGAGAGAAAAGCCACCCTCTGATTAGTTAGCAGAAGTTGTATGACACCACCTTCTTAAAATGTGCATGCCTTAGATGGCAAAAATAGCTCACTAGCTAAAGAGACATCACAGGACAACACCATCTATGGCTTAGAGGAAGTTGTCACTCTCTGATTGGCTAAAGAGTCATCACAATCATGAAACGGATGTGGTTTAGAGAGAAAATAGCTCACTGACTAAAGAGACATCATGTGACACAACTTACAGGGAATAGTTACTCTGTGATAGGCTGGAGTGACCCTCTGATTGGCTAAAGAGTCATCACGTGGCATCACCATCTTAAAAGAGGTGTGGCTTTTTGATAATAGTAACCCCTTATTAGCCAAAGAGTCATCACGTGACCATCTATAGCTTAGAGGAAATAGGCACCCTCTGATTGGCTAAAGAGACATCACGTGACACCACCATCTTGAAAGGGGCTGGGCTTTTGGGTAATAGTCACCCCTTTTGGCTAAAGAGCCATCACGTGACCATCTTTAGCTTAGAGGGAATAGGTACTCTCTGATTGGCTAAAGAGACATCACGTGACACCACCATCTTGAAAGGGGCATGGCTTTTAGGTAATAGTCACCCCTTATTGGCTAAAGAGCCATCACGTGACCATCTTTAGCTTAGAGGGAATAGTCAACCTCTGATTAGCTAAAGAGTCATCACGTGACATCACCATCTTGAAAGAGGCGTGGCTTTTAGGTAATAGCCACCTCTTATTGGCTAAAGAGCCATCACGTGACCATCTTTAGCTTAGAGGGAATAGGCACTCTCTGATTGACTAAAGAGACATCACGTGACACCACCATCTTGAAAGGGGCTGGGCTTTTAGGTAATAGTCACCCCTTATTGGCTACAGAGTCATCACGTGACACAACCATCTATGGCTTAGAGAGAATAGTTACCCTCTGATTGGCTAAAGAGACATCACGTGATACTATAATGGTGCACCTCTATACACTAGCTGCAAAATGCATAAAGCACTAACTCATCGCAACACTGCACTCTGGTGGACATAATTGTACCTACAGTGCTGCAATCTGGTGACAAAAAATCCAACGACTATTCTATTATACCACCTCAGACTCTTGCTCTACAAACTGACGTCATAGCTCAATGGCTAACACTCCCGCCTCACATACTGGAGACCCTGGTTCGATTCCCGACTACTCCTAAAAACTTTTTATCACACTCTTAACCTCCAAGGACAAACCTAATTAGTCAACAAGCTTATCTTGACCCCAAGGTCATGATAACAAGCGTATCTTGACCCCAGGGTCACGATAACAAGTCTATCTTCAATCCCAAGGTCAATGACCCAGTTCAAGGTCATTTTGTTCTATCCTCTCATGGGGTCTACTTCGGTAGTTAAAACGATGAGCAGATTAGATTTAACTTCAAACATAACGACCAATTTCCAAACGCGATTCCGCTGTATTGAAGCAATTAACAAACTGATACGAACACGATAAACCAGATAAACAAAGATTAAACGTTTCCCTATGTAATCCGTTTTGGACGATATATCCTCCAAAACACCCTGTCTAACGGCCAATTTATATTAACAAGGTGCTTGTTTGTGGTTTTTGTTTGCTTTGGACTTAGCTTGTAATTATACGAGCATAAGGGAGAGGAGGTAAAAATGCTATAAATAATAAAAAAATATGTATATCCATTGTATTACTGATTTTTACTTTCTCCCCCTATACCATAGTATATGGAGAAAGTATTGTTTTCGTCAAAATTTTCGAGTTTGAGTTTTGAGTGGATATATTCGTTTTGGGTCCTCCTGGACCCAAAAAAGTGGTTTTCGAAGTGATGTCTGTGTGTGTGTGTGTGTGTGTGTGTGTGTGTGTGTGTGTGTGTGTGTGTGTGTGTCTGTGTGTCTGGATGTGTACAGAGCTAGGGACTACACCTGTGGTCCGATTTCAATGAAATTTGGTATGTAGGTTCTAATCCGTGGTATCTCCAGGCGTTTTTTTCATTTTTTTGAAATTTTGATTTTTAATGGGGATTTTCCCATAAAAACCCATAAAAAACTGGAAAAGTCGGATTTTCTCAAAAATGGCCCGAACGATTTTGATAAAAATTTAGTATGTTGTAGCCCTTTAAATTCTGAACAAAATGGTACAAATCCCATTTCTGTAAAAATTACGGTTCAAAAGTTATGGTAAATTATGTTATTTTCCCATAAAGCCCCATAAAATAAAAAAAAATAGTATTTTAGACAAAAATCCGGTTTTGATTTAACAGAGTATGTTATGATCCTTACAATTTTGATAGTTTTTGTCATTTTTTAGAAAATTACTTTTTTTAATGGGGATTTTCCCATAAAACCCCATAAAAAACTGGAAAAATAGGATTTTCTCAAAAATGGCCCGAACGATTTTGATAAAAATTTAGTATGTTATAGTCCTTAATATTCTAAACAAAATGGTACAAATCCCATTTCTGTAAAAATTACGGTTCAAAAGTTATAGTAAATTATGTTATTTTCCCATAAAAATCCCCATAAAAAAACAAAAAATCAGATTTTCCTAAAATTGGCTAGAACGATTTTGATAAAAATTTAGTATGTTATAGTCCTTTAAATTCTGAAGAAAATTGTACAAATCCGATTTCCGTATATTTACTCTCACCGCTTGCTCATGAGAAAGGTTGTTGACAATCTTATGGGAGAAAGTATGTGTCAGAATGCTGATACCGTTTATTTTAAATTTTCTTTAAAACAGATTTTTAGATTTCTAGGGTTTTTAAATTTGTATATTACTTCGTCTCGTAAGACGTTTGACAGCTTTTGAGTTATGTTAAAAAGCTAACGTGTTTTATTGAAGATTGTGATACCTGTTATGCTGTCTATGCTATATATTTTAGCAAATAAAGACAAAAATTTATATTGTGTATATATTTTTCTTTATTCCTGACAAATCCTATTAATCACTGATCTTCTTAACATGTAACATATCTTTACCACAAAACACCTATAAACTCCAATACATGCAACATCCATTGCCAACTTTCGTGACAATGTCTTTGAGCATATTTTTGGTGCACATTAACAATCAAACTTGTACTGAAACATGTTCCTGAGATCAGATGCAACACTTTAGGTCAGTAATATCTCTATTGCCATTATTTTATTTCCCATTTTGGATATTAACCTGACAAACAATAAGAAAGATGAAAAATAAATACAATTTTTTTAATGATACAAAAGTCATTTCACAAGATGAATTTGTAAAATTTAAAATATATGCACATCTAAAGGGGTGAGGTCATAAATAATGAAATCGGTTACAAAAATGTTTTTACTGTAGGATCTACATAACGATACAAAATTACAACATAGTGATTACAGACCAGTTTCAAAAGATTGGTTTGAAACTATAATAATTTACATTAGGAACAGTGCAAAGGGTCTGTTCATATTTATCACAGTCGGTAATAGACAGAGTTTGATTATTTTTACTTTTGATTGAGCTTCACAATTCTTTAAAGGATTACTGATCTTAATATCTAATGAAAAAATGTATTAAATTAATTTATTATCAGGTATCACATATTTGAGAAAATCATATAAGATTCTATCACCATAATTAAATATCATGTTAAAGTTGTATCTTGAAGCTTCTTGTTTCCTTTTCAAGATGTCTTATGAGCTATGCCATTTATGATAAAATAATATTTTTTGGAGTTAGATAATTGTAATAAATTAAAAAAAAACTCGACTAGTTAAACTTTTAGCGAATTTCCCTATAGGGAAGTAGCTATTACCGTAGGTCTCATGGTAAGACTTAGGCCCCGGAACGATTTACTTTTTCATTTTGATGTCCACTGAGGCCAAAAACACCACTCGTTCAAATTTTTATACATGTATATATATATATATATATATATATATATATATATGTGTGTGTGTGTGTGTGTGTGTGTGTGTGTGTGTCCGTGAACACGATAACTTGAGTAATTTTTATCCGATTTTGATGAAATTTGGTTTGAAGGTGTAAGGCGGGATAAACTTGAATGAGTTCGCGATCCAGCATGATCGGACCATGGGAACAGGGTTATATGGGGTAAAAATTGGTTTTTCTCACTTTTGACCCTCAAAACACAAAATTTCCCAATTTTTCTCTAAACCTTCTTAAAGAGCCTAAAAAAACAAACAATTCAGTATATCAAAGTGTTTTTGTACGGTTATTGGTTACGGAGAAAACTAAAAAATGGTAAATTTAAAATTCCCATGTTATTCTTATGGAGAATATTGTAAAATGTTGTAGTTTGCTTGTTTATGGATATCTTTTGATCAAACTTGGCAAATATATTCATTCTATACTAAGCAATAATTATTTTACTTAAAACACACTTTATTAGTTTCCTTGTAGCAGCAAACCTAGGTACTCGTTAAACCTAATGTTATTTAAATAGATCAATTGAAAATCAATTCAGCCAAATGGAAATTCACTTAGGCGTCAGGTTTGCGGCGGGGGTATTTTAAATAAGAAAATATAAAATCTAAAAAAAAAAATATAAGATGAACTTTATACACAACGAATGATATTGTACAAAAGACATACAAGAAGGTCATACTTTATACATACTTTTACCGGAGTATTTGAGAGCAACTAAACGATATAGAAAAAAAACTGTCTCTTAAACGTTATTTGACTATAGAAAATAAGTTGATGTTTTTTGAACAAAGTTAGATACCACATTGCATTTTAGCATAACGTCAACTTGATTTATAATTTTCAAAAACGTCAAATATTGTCTTTAGCCAGTTAAAAACCTCTATTATTCACAAGAACCGATTGACTATATGGATGTTTCTTACAAGAAACTGTTAAATTAAATACACACAACATGTTCACGAGGATTTTTACATGTTAACGAAGATATAATAAATTTTACTCTTCAAGATCTTGCTCCCTTAATTTGTATCCAGTCTAGATTCACGACGAACAACGCTAATCACGTACATGAGGGTTCAACACACAACAAAGTGAACATTCAACACAGGGTTTGTTGAGACATTCAATGTAAGTGTCCAGTTGTTTGGCTGTTTACAGTCCAACACAGAACACTGATGTGCCATCTGGGGCCGCAACGTGCTGTTGAGATCTTCAAAAACGTTCAGTGTTGTGAACACTGAGCGTTAGCTGAAAAAAAAACAGAATATCTGTTGTGAATTTGGCCAAGTAAGATTATAATTTTTGTAGTTTCTAAGAAAAATTGGTTCCTTATTCAACGGAAAATGTGTTATAACGTTTATAAAGTTTCTTTCGGCTATATATATATATATATATATATATATATATATATATATATATCAGTAGGATAACCAGAAAAGGAATACTTTTGTTATTAATAAAATGTTCTGTGTTCCACATCAAGGGAAGTTCTAAGCCCAACAATATAAAGTCCATAAAATACAAAGTGGTGAAACTTAACAATGTCTCAATATTACATAAATGGTATGCAAAGGGTGCGGAATACTACCACCCGAAAAACCACCCTCCCAGGTGAAATGTAACTCCCCCCCTTGGCAAAGTGTGATGCTAAGTTTCATACGTAATAGTTATGATTGTAATTTTAATCCGAGTAATTCCGTTTGATAACGGAAAGCAAGTGGGGATTATCAAACAGACAACAAGTTTGGTAGTTAGGTTAGGTTAGTTTAGAAGAGTTAAACAACGAAACTTGAGTGTCCGTGACTGGAAAATTGAATCCACGATCTCTGACATCAACACAACGTAGGAACCTGCTTGGAAGTGGGGAGTTGTCGAGTGGCAGTCTTCCGGCGATTCGAATGTACTAAAAGAGATTATAGATTTAAAGAAGCGTGAAGTTTCTTAACTATTTTCTAAATACTAAGTGCATCGTTCTCTAGCTATATGAGTTTTAGACCTCACAGAAGACAACTAGGTACAGACCTGATCTCAGGTAAGCACTGAGTTCCGATCGTTGTACCTCAGTGATGTTGTGCGGGTTTGAGACACGGACAATTGTCTTCTCGGTGATCTTCTCCAACATAGACAAAGTGCTTTTTGGAAACTCTCCCGGAAGTTCTTAGACATGAACCCGTACACAATAGGATTCACACAACTGAAACAAAACAGTTTATTAGACCAATTTATGATATATTTTTATGACTATTTAATACTTTCTCATGAGGTTGCCAAAAAGAGGTTAACTAAATTTGAGATCATTTACCTTACCAAATAGATCATCCCATAATACTTTAATTGTGGATTTTTTTTTATTACTCGATGTTGTATGTGTATATACCTAGGTTAAATGTAGACCATGGTAATTAATAAAATTGGTAACTGAAAAATTAGTTGTAGACTAGCCTGAACCATCATAAAATAGGGACATATGTCTACTGTAATTACAAGGACTTGTTCATTGAATTATGTTTAGGGTCCAGTAAGTTCCCGTAATTCGTAACAGACTTTGAAAAAAGATCTATTAATCTAACCGCAATTCAACAAAGGGAGATCGTTAAAACTCCAGTTTCAACAAAACTGCTGATGACGCGCCTATAATTTGAGTCTAGATTCTAAAATTAAAGGGAATGGGGTCGCTTATAATTTGTATATGGTTCATATTATGCTTAAAATTAAAAAAAATACATAGTGTAGGAAATGCACACATTTAAAAATTAATATGATTTCTTAAAGCGTTGAATTAATCTCATTAATTAAATATGTGATTGATTTATTAGTTTCAATAGTTTTGTTTATGTTGATTGAATATCGTCATTATAGAGTTTTATTGCCTTAAATTAATTTTTATTTTAATATAACTTCTATGAGTACAACAGACCTAATCCTGTGATAGCTAAAAGCCTTCCCGAGAGCTAGATATCAACCATCATAATGTGACAGTTAGTGTTTACACGAATACCATGTACGAAACACAATTTTTAACTTTAAATACCACCAACGTAATCGTGGATCATATAAAAGTGTGAAACTCTCTAATCGCTCCAAAGTACTTGGCAATTTGTTAAGCTAAATGGTTAAACAAACACTGAGTTTGCACCTGCGCTGGTCCTGGTTTAGATAACTGGGAAGTTAAATTCCCCAGAGCAAGTTGTAAAAGTAGATTGCAGAATACGAGTATCTAACAGATGTTTCAGAAAACGTAAGATAACAACCAAGCTGGCTTTTCTTATTGTTTTTAATAATTTAAACTAGTTATCTATTCCAATACGAACCATTTTTTTATGTTTTCAAATATGAGATATGATTTTAATTATAAAATATGCAAAAGTAGTTGGTATTTTTATATTATTATTGTATCAAATACATTTTTAAGAGCAACTTTGAGTAAAAATATGTAAGAATGTTTTACAGTTTTAATTTTGTCTTAAAAACCTTTTGCTTAATATGTTAGTAACCATAGTACATGGTAATACACGAGTAAAGCCTCATTTAATGACATTACTCAAAGTCCTATGTAATATTTTAGAGTGGAAAAGTATTCACAAGATGTCATTTAGATTCTCAACGGTCATAAATCTGTCAAGAAAGTTGTACAGTAAATAACAAACGTAATCTAACTTTCTCAATTATTACAACTAATTAAATGGGTAGAGAGGAAAGCTATGGTACAACCTTAACATTTCCAATGTATTTCAAAATTTTACAAAAGACATTTAAAAAAAATGCCGAACCTAACCTGTTTTCTACAAACAAATTACGGCCAATCCAAATTATTTCTCTAATTGTTCATACAATCCCCCAAATGTTTAACAATTCCCTTTTACAAACATTTCCTGTATCTCTTTTTATCTGTAGCTTTAATGAATTGCGTTGCATGAAATGATAATTTTGTATTGATGTTATTTGTCCCAGGATTACTTCTTGAATATTAAAATGGTATAAGATTACCTGTTTCCGTCTGTGAGCCTAAATTTGTTGTATAGAGCAACCGGTTTCAAGGTTATAACCTCATCATCAGGCTCTTGTTGTCACTCTTGCGAGATCGTCAAGTTTTAAAAACACACAAATACACTAACATGTAAATAAATAAAACACGAACATATTGACAGACGATTAACATAAATTCGGGAACTAGTTCCCCACACGACGCAGCATGGGCGGACAAAATGGCATTGCAAAACGACTGCCCGTGCTGCGTCGTTTTATTTTTTTTATGTATTGTCTTTGCACGTTTTTAAGTTCGACGATCTCGCAAGAGTGACAACAAGAGCCTGATGATAAGGTTTTAACCTTGAAACCGGTTGCTCAATACAACAAATTTAGGATTGCAGACGGAAATAGGTAATCGTATGCCATTTTGAAAATTTTGGAAAATGTATGACTGTTATAATGACAGACTCTATACGTTCAACAGACAAAAACTATGTTTAATGGAGTTAAATTAAGAGAACTAACGTAAGAACATACTTTTAGGGAATGCCGTGTACTTCTCGTAGAGCCTACATTTTTTATTTTTTATTTTTTTTTATCTTTGGGGGAGTAAACTTAATTTCATTACAATCCCTGTTCAAGAAATCCAAAACCATCCAAATTAATTGATAAACAAGTGAACGATTCATTTACAAAAGAGCATCAAATTACAGTATTTAAACTATAATTGCCCAAGTTTCAAATATTAAAAGAAGTGTTTACTCTTCACCTGTTAAAGTAAGCCATCAGCGTGAATATGGTGTACATATGCTTGAGTATGCTGCCAGGTCGCTCACTGGCCAGCACCTGCCATGCTGTGAGGCAGTTGTCTATAAGCATGGGAGCCCAGCATATCACGAATACTACCACTATCATCACCAACATCTTGATTACCTGTAGGCAAATCATATCTTTCACCAATACAATATACACTATCCCATGGTTGGTTATTGTGTTGCTTGGGTGCTGTTTTATCATTTATATCTTATTCAGAAAGCATAAATCATTTTGTCATAAATATATAGCAACAGGGTTGATATAACAAAAGAGAGTTTTCATGTAAAAAAAAGACAATGAAATGCGTTTAGCTTAATAATAGTGGAAACATAACATATTGTTTGATGTGGCTTGACATAGCGGCTGAAAGTGTTCAGATAAGATAATATTTTGTTTAAAATTGTTTTAAGATGCACAATTTGTTGGGTTATAGCTTTAGAACATAAAGACAGGTCAAATTTGGTTAACTAAGAACCGCATAGCATGCTAAAATAAAAGACATAAGAAAGAAGTTATTGCAAATTATTTAAGATAACCATTACGAATCAAAGCTAATTTAGTACTTTTTACTCATCGTAAATGGTATCAGAATATTAAAATCGTAAGAATTGCCTATTACATATTTGGTACTATGGTTTGGTTTTGGTTTAGTAGTAAGATACACACTCCATTGGTTAATCTATAAAAAACATCTGAATTTCCTGAAATCAGGAAAAATTTATATAGCCTAAGTGTAGTGATTAATGATATATCCCAGAGTAAATCTTTGTAATAGGTTTAATTTAATACTATTCTTTTGTTTGTTTGCCTCTGGATTCTTTCAGTTTTTTACGATACACTTTATTTCCTACCTGTTTTACAGTATTGTTCTCCTCTTGATTGGCCTTGAAGGACTGTTTGAAACTAGTTGTTCGTTTACAGCTGAGAGGGAAGTTTTCACACGTGAGAGTTCTGTAATTTAAATAAAAGCTTTCTATATAAATATGTATGTTAATGGTAAAAGATTAAACACTCCTTAATAAAAGGATCTTATACAAACGTAAGCAGAAATTAATTTAAAGAAACCGTCCGCCTTAGATATTTATTTTAGCAAGATATAAATCGGCCCACGAGAAAAAGTACTACCCTGGTTACAGAAATTAAACTTAGAGCAAAAGTTAGATTTAACAATTGTTTACAAAAACTAACTCAACACCATGTTGAGCTCACGACAATAGTTCAGCTAATCCTTTAATACGCTTTAATGTGTTTTCATTCCTTTACTTCATCCACAAAATTTAGGTGGTTTGAGGGAAAGCGATTCCATCCCCTCCACCTCACATCAACTTTGAAACAACGCCAAACAGCTAATATACACATCAAGCTAAAAAGGTGCTTGGGGATGCCAGGAATCCACCACCATAAACCACCTTAATTTTATGAACTTGCTTATAGCATAGTATAGATGTATAACTGCAAGATTAAATATGTGCCAGGCCATGAAGCGCAATACTAAAACACTTACGCTTTCCCGCTAGTCATGTCATATCTGGCCTGCATGACAGACCAAACCTCCCAGCATATGCATGTGTATGTGCACGCCATCACTGCAGTAGGTATCACCAGTATTAACATCAGCATGTACAACTCATGCAGACGCCAGAGTGCTACGTCATCACGGTTGCGTGTACACCAGTAGGCTGGATGCTTCTCCCCCACCACCTCCAGTATCTAGGGAAAAGATTTTATATATAACAAGCTAACAGTAATGTTTATATAGAAGCATACATGAAGCAATCAGCATTCGATGCATATACAGGGTGAGTTTTAATTGTCCCCCCCCCTACATTTTTCTACATTTTTTCAAATATGAATCCCAGACCACTTCCAAACATTGTTGGGTAGTAAGTACTTCATTTTGACAAGGTAGTCATTTCCGGCCGCCATCTTGGATCCACCATATTGGATGCAAAATTTTTTTTTAATGTAAAGGTGGGAATGTGACCCATCATTTCGAACTAAATTTTTACCCTAATTACAATGCCGCAAACCGTTTTTAAAAATCTTGACTCATTCTAAAGTTATGAGGGATTTTTAAAACTTTATTTTTAGCCCATTTTAACATTACGCATTTAAAAACTAAGACCATAATCTCAAAATAGTGCTAGATAAAGATAAGTATACACTACCAGTAATTGTCAACCTATTTTCACTTGGTTATGACTGATGTATTTTTTTCGGCCGCCATCTTGAATCCGCCATTTTGAAATGTGATAAATTATTTTAAATATGAAGGTGGTATTGTGACCCATTATTTCGAACTACTTTTTTAATCTGAACTTAATTCCGTGATCCGTTTTTTCATTTTAATTTTTTGATTTTGAAATACTGACATTTTTTACAAAAAAATTGCAATATTTCATAAATAAAACTTGATAACAAAGAATGGATTGCGGCATTGAGTTTAGCTTTAAAAATAGTTCAAAATGATGGGTCACAACACCCCCTTCATATTTAAAATAATTTATCACATTTCAAAATGGTGGATCCAAGATGGCGGCCGAAAAAAATACATCAGTCATAACCAAGTGAAAATAGGTCGACAATTACTGGTAGTGTATACTTATCTTTATCTAGCACTATTTTGAGATTATGGTCTTAGTTTGTAAATGCATAATGTTAAAAAGGGCTAAAAATAAAGTTCTAAAACGCCCTCATAACTTTAGAATGAATCAAGATTTTTTTAAACAGTTTGCGGCATTGTAATCAGGGTAAAAAGTTAGTTCTAAATAATGGGTCACAACCCCACCTTTTTATTTGAAAAAAAATTTTGCATCCAATATGGTGGATCCAAGATGGCGGCCGGAAATGACTACCTTGTCAAAATGAAGTACTTACTACCCAACAATGTTTGGAAGTGGTCTGGGATTGATATTTGAAAAAATGTAGAAAAAAGTTGGAGGGGGGGACAATTAAAACTCACCCTGTATATATATATATATAAATTTAATTTAAAATTTTAATAAAATTAAACTTAACTATATTAAACTTAATTGGTTGCATGTATTTAACACTTAAGCATGATTTAGCACACTAGGTCCTTAACATCGGTGCCTTTCTTTTTGGGGCACTGGAGACTTAAGCCCCTAATTTATTTGCTAAAAAAACTAATAATATAAAATCAACAGACCTTCTTTCAGTGCATGTAGTACGTATGCATGAAATAGCATTAGTGTGTGTTGCAATATCCTGTATATATGATTTTAACTACTTTTCACTTATTTTATATCTACTTACAGTTACTGGCTACATATTTTGCAGCTTATAATTAAATAACATAATATCATACCTATTTACTAAACAATTTATAAAACATGTGATTTCACCAAACAAAAAGAGATTGAGTTCATTCACTTATTGGTTTTGGCTTTCCTAGCTTACAGTAACAAAGGGCCTTCTACTGTCCCGCCTTTGACTGGAAATCTATAGATTCTCAATGGACTGTGCGTATTATTATCACCATCATTGTTTTGGCAACCCTGGAGTTCACCTTAAAATATTAAGTAGAAATAGGTGTAGGTTATTATAAATGTATTTGAATAAAGGTTATGAAAACCAGGGGAAATAGAAAAACGTACAGTACTGTTAATGTTAGTTAATACCTTTAAAATAAAATTTAACTGAGAATATTATTGTTAAAATTGTCAAATAGCTGCCACAGGTTAGACAGTTAGTTAGCTATAATATAAAAATTTATTGTTTTTTGTCGTTCTTTAATTTGCGTATATTAAAGGTTTCAAGGAAATAATTTATATCCGTATTTGTTAGTTAGTAAAAATATACTTCATCTATATCAAAACAAAACTTGTATATTTAAATATTAATAAAGATAACAATAAAACACATAAAAAACATATGTAAAAATAAAACATATATATGTAAAAAATGTCAGGTGACATTTCAATGCAGCAAAATTATAAACAGTATAGGATACTTCATGTAAGAATTGGAGAATAATGATGTTTGGCATTTGTGGCTGTTTCTATTGGGATTATTGTTAATAGATGTATGTATTGTACCTGGACCACTAACATAGGTGTGGCCAGTAGGAAGGAAGCGAGCCAGATACAAAGGATAATCTTCTTGGCTTGACTGATCGTACATAGATACTTGGCCTTCATAGGGTGGACGATTGCGTAGTACCTGTGAACACGAGGAGTACAAGATTATTATACAAGGCTAAGGAAGTGGAAGTGTGTTCCTAAATAACCTTGCAAGAATCACCTACACCACGTATATCTAAACTCTAAACCATCATAGGTTATCTAGAATTACTTCGTGAATTGATGAATTTGATTTTACTATAATCAAATTTCTCAATTATCATGTCACCTTTTTTATGTTGTTTTGTATCCATAAGCATGTGCAGAAGAATTACCGTGCAAAAGTTTTATTGCAGCTTAATAAAACTTACATCACTTAGTTAAACTACTAATTGTACACATATCTTCCCTATAGCTCAATAACTCGTTTATTGGACCAATTATATACATATTTACACGTATTAGTTACGTCAAAATAGTATAATATACAAATTTATCTTACAATAATAAAATAGCTTAAAACTAAATCTTTAAATATCATTTTGTTTCCAAGGACAATTAAGAATCTAGCAGTCAGCCAGGAAGTCACGAACGCTGAAGTAGCATTTATTTAATAGAAATGATTTTAACTTTCTTTCGAATTTAAGATGGCCTGATTCTGCCTTTTGGTGCGTTGGAAGGTTGTTAAAGATATTTACTGCATTGTAAAGAGATTTTTTTAGGTTGTATATTGGATAGGGACTGGGAGATTATAAGAAGTTCTTGAATTGTAATCATGGTTGTGGGAAATGTTGAACTTGTCGATGTTTGGTTTTAGGAATGACAAGGTTTTGTAAATGTAAAGGGATGGTAACGTTAGGATGTTTGACGTTTGAAAAACCGGTTGGCAAGTTTGTCGTCTTTTTAAAGAAAATATAGCTCTAATTTCCCGCTTCTGCAAACGGAATAGAAATAAGGTCCACTTATTCTCATAGGTAAGATGTGGGAAAATATGACCATAATAAGCGGAAAGTAGGACATCAGATTTCGTAGAATTTGCAAGGGCATGTATTGCAAATGATGGCAAATATTCCTGAACTAACTTTTTTATTACGTGGTCAATATGATGGTAAAATGTTAACTTGTTGTCTGAAAACAATCCAAGAAATGTTGTGCAACTAATTGGGTGGACTTGTTACTCATCTAGATGAAACTAGTTGCCACTGGCCACCTTTTGAGGGCCAATTTAGTTTAATGTAGCATTAGTATATTTTCACTTGATAACGGGAAGAGTTTATCCACAAGCAGAAACGTTGTGTAGTTTAAAACACAATAAACGTTGGAAAAGTCCAATTAAATAATATAACAAGATGCAATATAATTAAAATGGAAAAGCGCAAAGCCGTTTTTACACAATTGATTCGTAGATCACACAAACTAGTCTTAATGTTAAAACAAATGAGTTCAACACATTTGTGTTGAAAACGTTGCTTTCTTCCTTTTCAGTATTTCATAAAAAAGACATATTATTGATATACTATAATTTAGTAGAACATCGATATTATATATAAATTGAAAAAAAAATAATTTGATCTCATGGACGAGGTTGGAAAACAAAACCTTTCGCAGAAAATGTTTTGCTATCATTAGTATTCCTCCTAGTATTTCAGATTTTTTTTGTGGACTGCAATAGAAAATAGTGATTCCTTTGTTACTCCCATTTCACCGTATGCAAACTACCTTCAATTCAGCTAAACAAGTGTCCAGCGTTAACGATGATGTTAGTAAAGAACAAAATTATATACTACAAAAGGCTGCACACTAGGCTATTATTTGAAACTAGATATTAGTTCCAGAATGGTTCAAGCGAAATAATATTTCCACATACCAACGGGAAGTTTTGACTTTATTTAATCCAAAATTCTATTTCCTATCAAGAGTATCAAGGTACAAGTTGAGTTATTTGTAATTCCTGACTTACTAGTTGAAAAGATCTGCAAGGATGGTCAAAAATTAGAATAGGTAACTGTGTAGAACAATCTCAGTGTTTTAGATTGATTTGTTACGAGCCAACAACGATTGATTTAGAAAAATGTCAATCTAAAATACAGACATTATGATCAAAAGGTGTTAAACGGTACTATGTTATTGCCCTAATATTTTATTATTACTGTATTATATTGACACTACTTTTAATTACCACTAGGTAGTTATTATATTATTTAAATTGAAGTATACGTTGTGACAGAGATAAATAAATTATGATCTAACCGTATAAAGGTATGAAACAACATGTTTGGACGTTTAGCCACAATAGGATTATGTGCTTAGGTAAATTGAAGGCATCATTGTCAGCACACTAATGGATTGGGTAATGGTAATATGTATATTTACCCTAAATATGTTTGAAAAAAAACTATAAAACTTAGTGGGCATAAAAACAGAAGCCAAACAGTAAAGGCCCGAAAATAAATACCAACATTTTGAGATAATTTTTAGATTAAACATTTACCTACATTTAGATGTGTTATTAACAGGAGCTTCGTTTATGAACCAACACAGCTTTAGTAAACATTTAACATGGTTAAATCAAAATCAAATAAAAATCAATTTTTATTGTAGAATAGACCTTTACATAACGAAACAAAGTAAGTTGATATTTTTCCACGATATTACGTGAGGCTATATTTAAAAACGCTTTAGGCACATTGAAACAACGCTTTTGCTCTTACAGATGTGGTTTTATATTTCGGAATATCACTTTCTCCTTTTACTTAACATTCGTAATAAAACAATTTTAACATATTTAGTTTCTTCAGAAACTAAAAATTACAATGTGAGTTGACAGCTATAATTTACTGTACAAATTTATAAAAATTTATATGAACAATATTATATCAGATATCACTAAGCTTTACTAAAGCGTACAAGGATTTTAAACAAATTTTATATAGAATTTATTTTTATGCTGTATCGAACGAAGGGGGTCATCTATTGCATAAATAAACAGCTACCACAAATGTTATTGAAACGCGAAGCAATATGAATGTCTGATGTGTCTCAAATGGGATATGATCATAAAACGTGGGGTTTCAAATACATCATTCAGTAGTTTCAGTTGTTTTGCATTTCAAAAGAAAAGACATTCTTTGTACAAACTAAGTTCTTTTATAGTATCGGATATATTTGATAAATTATTTAAAAACATATTAAGTTGAGTTTTAAGCTATGTTATTAAAGGGATATCCTATTGTATGTCTCACCAAACTATACCAAAGTCCATGTACACATACTTTTGTTTTCGTAATGTATCTTTAAGTTTAGTGAATTTCCTCCTTATTCCAATTTCATTCCTATTGTGATTACTCAAATGGACGTGTAGACAATTTAAGTAACAACTGGTTGTTTTATTACACATTTGTAGGCACTTTATAGAAACCTAAAATGCAATGTAAATTACATTTCTGGTATTTATTTATCCGTCGTGAAGCTTGAGATGTAAAAATAACACATATGCAACTTCTAAGAGGAACCACATAGTAATGATAAAAAAATAAAGAATTCGTTTACGTAAAGCATTATATTTGGCAAGAATAAGTTTTAAATGAATAAGTGAATACTGAAGTTTAAATTTATGTATGAAATTAAATTCTACAAAAGTATGACTTTGTTTCAGATACAAATTTAAAAAATATTCTTTTACTTTCTCCCCCTATACCATAGCATATGGAGAAAGTATTGTTTTCGTCAAAATTTTCGAGTTTGAGTTTTGAGTAGATATATTCGTTTTGGGTCCCCCCGGACCCAAAAAAGTGGTTTTCGAAGTGATGTCTGCGTGTGTGTGTGCGTGTGTGTGTCTGTGTGTCTGGATGTGTACAGAGCTAGGGACTACACCTGTGGTCCGATTTCGATGAAATTTGGTATGTAGGTTCTAATCCATGGTATCTCCAGGCTTTTTTTCATTTTTTTGAAATTTTGATTTTTAATGGGGATTTTTCCATAAAAACCCATAAAAAACCGGAAAAATCAAATTTTCTCAAAAACGGCCCTAACGATTTTGATAAAAGTTTAGTATGTTGTAGCCCTTTAAATTCTGAACAAAATGGTACAAATCCCATTTCTGTAAAAATTACGGTTCAAAAGTTATGGGTAATTATGATATTATCCCTTTAAAAACCCCATAAAATAACGAAAAATAGGATTTTAGACAAAAATCCAGTTTTGATTTAACATAGTAGGTTCGTAAGTCCTTACAATTTTGATAGTTTTTTTTTTAAGAAATTTTGATTTTAGATGGGGATTTTCCCATAAAACCCCATAAAATAACGGAAAAATCGGATTTTCCGAAAAATGGCCCGAACGATTTTGAAAAAATTTTGGTATGTTATAGTCCTTTATATTCTGAACCAAATGGTACAAATCCCTTTTCCGTAAAAATTACGGTTCAAAAGTTATTGTAAATTATGTTATTTCTCCATAAAAACCCCATAAAATAACGGAAAATCGGATTTCCCTAAATTGGCTCGAACAATTTTGATAAAAATTTAGTATGTAAAGAAAAAAAATCATACAAATCCAATTTCCGTATATTTACTCTCACCACTTACACATGATAAAGGTTGTTGACAAACTTACGGGAGAAAGTATGTGTCAGAATGCTGATACCGTTTATTTTATTTTTGTAATACACTGCTACTATGTTAAAAGTTCAACTTAATCATCTTTATAATTTAAAAACCACTTTGATTAAGCTCCGATATTTATATATTTATGCTTGTATAGATTCGATATCATGAACAAGTATCACATATACTTTTGAAATCGAAATACTTCTGTGACTAATTTGACGATGAGTAATGGTATTGTTTTATCGCTCACTTCATCTTAACTATCACCCTTAAACAATGGAAGAGCTTCTAAGGATTAAATGGTTTTTTTTGTTACTAAACAAAGTTTTAATGTAAAATGAATGGTTTTTGTATTGTATTGCCTATACGTTCAATTTACAATGGTTTTAAACGTCCTAAGACATTTTTCAAATTATATTTAATACATATTCAGCGAAAGCCTAATGTAAATCATAAATTTCACCATTACTCATATTATTGAAGTTAGCATACCTGAATCATCCTATAGGCCTCAACAGTTAAAATTTTAAAGTAGTAGTCAGCAGTTATAAACATATTTTTTACGAAACAAAAACTCTCAGAAATATTTAAACTGCAAATATTTGTAATATTTGTAAAGGTTTGAAAAATATTTGTATTTTTTTAATGAAACATGTATTTTAACTGAAAAGTTTGAAATAGTCTGAAACATGCTCGCAGCATATCGATGGTTTGTCGGTAAGCCATACAGATGGCAGATATGTCAGGATTTCACGGGCTGTGGGCACATTACCTCTGCTACTCCAGGGTGTTGAATATAATATATCAGCAAGGCAGCCAACTGGCAGCTGATACTTCTAACTTAACACACGTTTGGAAATGTACCTTTCACTTCTCCTTGCCACTCAGCATTTACTTTTAGACATAATATATATATATATATATATATATATGTATATATATATATCACCTTTTAATATAATATTCGTTGGTCTATGACTCTTGTGATTTATATTTAAACTCCCTTTAGCGAAATAATCATCTTTTTAACCCTTTCTAAATTCACATTTTAATATTTTTTGTTTTGTTGGATTATTTGTCAAAAAAAAGTTAAAACCACATAAGCTTCCTTATCCCTATTTCATTCTAAGAGTTGTTTGGTTTATGAAAATAATCTTATGTTCAAAATACGATCTTTTGTTTATATTTTATCTGCAATACGCTTATTATTGAAAGTAATAAGTGTCCTAATTGAGATACTTTGTAAGATTTTTTACTTGTAGTTTAACTAATAGATATATAATCTGGTATCATCAATGGTTCACCGTATCAGTAATACGTGAGTGAGTTATAATTTTATAGTCCTAATGTTACTGGTAGTTATCTATTTTTGGAAAAACTGTTTACGAAAGTAGCTAAAATCTGAATTTCAAAAATATGATTCCAAAAATGTTACATGTTATTCACATAATTATATGTTATTATTATACAGGGGAAGTGTTATTTTTCTATTGAGGTGGACTTTTTTACTTATATACTTTTTATGCTACAAAATCGTAGGATTAGTTAGAACTGTGCGAAAGCTTGAGCTTATAATAATATCTTAGAAATAATAAAATTAATTAATACAAATAATACATTTTCAAGCCTTAAAATAGTTGAATGTACGACCTAAACACTTAAACATGTTGTGTGTTCAATCAAATATTAATCCTTATTGTCAAAAATTAACATAAAATAGCCTATACTGCTTTACTAAAAAAAAAAAAAACCTTGCTCTATGTAATGTTTCCAACGGAAGAATTTGGAATCTAACCTTAAGTGATTAAAGACAGCCTTCTACAAAATGACATGACAAAATAATTTGTTGTAATCATAGGGATAGTAGGCTAAGATAGTTACAAATAAAAATTAGTAAATATTAATATACTGTACAAGGATTTTTAAGTAACTCTATCACAAATTAACTCATCTACAAATTGAAACATGTTTATAGCAATTTCAGATTCATTGGAGTGATTTTAAAATCAAATCTTATGAAATAATGTTATGTACAGTATCACAATTGGAAAGAAATCTAAAAGGGAAAATATACTTTGTCTCTTGGGGACAGTAACGTATCATATTATTTGTTAACAAATACTCAAACAAACTTTTATGACCATAAAACAATTTTCCACAGTCCAAACAATATTAACTGAAAATAATGTGTCTCAGATGGAATGTAATCATAAAGTGTGGGAATTCAACTCCAGCGTGCTGTTATTCCAGCGGATGTTTTTCATTTCAAAACAAAGCGCACATATATTGAGGGAATTCAGTCAGATCTTACAGTAAATAATAGCTATTTAAAAACAGTTTCCAAAAGAAAATTTAGTATGGAAACGTAAATGTTTGATAAATCGTAGCTGAGAGATATATTTTAAAACAATCTTTTATCACGAAACGCATTTTAGTAGATGTGTTTGTGTGAGAATGTTAATATAGAACTTGAATATTGGTGAGACATTATATTAAAATTTTAATAGGTCCTATTGTAGGTATCGAGAGTATAATGTAGATTTTTTAAATGCTATATAAGCAGCTCTTACATAGGTATTCAAATAAAGATATATATTTAAAGATATTGACTTTTTAATGAATGGCAATTTAGGAGGGATGCCAAACCGATCCTTCTCCTGTGATTATTCATTTGAGCTCAATTGTCCTTCTAATAATTCCAATTCATTCGTCAATTTTCTGTCTATGGTGTATCGTGGTATCATCCATGATTAAGACTAAAAATGGGTGTGTATATAAAACCTTTATTAAATAATTGCTGAATACAGTTTTTAGTTATAAATGTATACGTTTAAAAATTATGTATTGAATTTCCTTATCCATATTATCCACACGCTTAAAAAACCGCTTTATAAATCCCACGCTTTACAACGATTTCGAATATTTATATCTTATGAAAATTCTGTAATACGAGATGACTATAATTACAGTTTTATTCAAGTAACGAAAATATATATGTAAAATGTAGCCCCTTATTTCGGCAGATTTTCTTGAGCAAAGCCTGAAATTATGTACAAGAGATATCGGTGTTTCAACGGTAAGCCATATAGACGACAAATATATCAGGATTTCGCACGTTGTCGGAATGTTAGAGCTCCTTAACAGACAAGTGGTGGAAAATAACTCTGACTAAAAAACAAGCGTAAAAAACTCCTCTCTCATTTGAGCTTCCCTGTTGCTTAAATCTCTTATTTTGAGATAAAAAAACGAAAAAGATGTTAATTTACAAAAGTGTATAAAGATTTTGTTATTTAATCATTGTTACTAGCATATAAGTAGTTGTAAAAAGATATATCAAAAATTGTATGACATTTCATTTCAATGGTAATGCGGATAGTAATAACTTACACTATTAAGAACAATTTCATTTTGCTGAATTACTAACTATATGTACGAAGTGGCATAATATATTTAAAATATTACATCGTAGTTTCGTATATCCGTAAATTCAAGTCTTACACAAGCGTATAAACTTTCATTTCCAATGTAGTTTAAATATGTATTGGATTTACATTACAAAATTGTTTTTATGCTAAGTTGGTTTGTGAAATATTGCAAGGATTCTTGATATGAGTCCATTATCCTTCCGCAATAAACGATTACAATGATATATACATCTAAAAGATTCAAAATTTAACTACTTCGGAATGCACAAATAATTTTGATGTCAATCGTGTCCTCCAGTAAAATTGATGAACTCTTACATTGGCTGCAAAATTCGATACCGCATATTGAACATCTTTACTTTATATGTTTATTTTACATAGATTATATGCATTAAACATTTACATGAATCACATATTAGGGCAGTAGCAGACGTACTGACCTCTCAACGCTCATCGCAGTGAGTGTTAGAACAGAACAGATGGCAGACACACTCTGCATGTAGTGGAGCAGCTTACACAGGAACAGTCCAAGGGTCCAGCCGTACGAGAACAGTTTGGCCAACTGTTACAAACAATATGATCACCAACTCACCTTATGTATGTATATGAAGACAATCTCATTATGCAAACACAATGTTTGATTGTGATTCAGATTGCAACAAGGCAATTTAATCATACTACAATAATTTTGTTCAGCTATTCGTTACAATCTTTTACTTGAAATTATTTACACTTTGTTACATCGTTAGGGGTAGTACCTGAAGCTATCATACTTCAATTTAAAATTCTAAAGGTCTCCTTTTAAAAACCTATTGGCATGAAAACGAGTTAGTTTAAGAAGGCTGAATAGTTCAGTTATTGATCAGTAAAAGCTATTTCAAATTATTGTACTTTATCGTCATTGTAAAAACCATAGGTTATTTACCTTTACTGGAATACATATAATGATAAGCAACAGATCAGCAGATGCAAGACTTGCGAGAAACACGTTAGTTGTACTCTTCATTCTTCGGTAACGGCAAATCGTAAAGATGATGAGCGAGTTCCCGATAATGCCAAGTACCATGGTAACACTGTAGACTACCAGAGGAGGTAATAGCTCCTCCCAGTAGTAGGTGTTGAGTGCCTCTAGGTAGTCATAGTCATCGTAGTCTGTCGTATTGTCCACCAGTGACACCTGTAACAGAGGTAAAATATGATGAGCGAGTAGCCAACGATGACCAATACCATGGTAACACTGTAGACTACCAGAGGAGGTAATAGCTCCTCCCAGTAGTAGGTGTTGAGTGCCTCTAGGTAGTCATAGTCATCGTAGTCTGTCGTATTGTCCACCAGTGACACCTGTAACAGAGGTACAAGATGATGAGAGAGTAGCCAATGATGACCAATACCATGGTAACACTGTAGACTACCAGAGGAGGCAATAGCTCCTCCCAGTAGTAGGTGTTGAGTGCCTCTAGGTAGTCATAGTCATCGTAGTCTGTCGTATTGTCCACCAGTGACACCTGTAACAGAGGTAAAATATGATGAGAGAGTAGCCAACGATGACCAGTACCATGGTAACACTGTAGACTACCAGAGGAGGCAATAGCTCCTCCCAGTAGTAGGTGTTGAGTGCCTCTAGGTAGTCATAGTCATCGTAGTCTGTCGTATTGTCCACCAGTGACACCTGTAACAGAGGTACAAGATGATGAGAGAGTAGCCAACGATGACCAGTACCAAGGAAATAACTTCGGTTTAATGTGCTACTGCTTTCCTCTGGAGACGGCATCATAAATTCTCCATTATTTGATAAAATATTATTCTCCGTCAGTGATCATTCTTGTCTTAATAAAATACAATACTTTTTTAACCCCAATCAAGACAAAAGTTGAATTGTTTGCTTCCGTACGTGAAATCCGTTCCCATGAAAAGTATGGGTAGGAAATGTGCTGGGAATCGGACCCATCTCTGTGGTACAGAAGTTGATACACTAACCACAAGACTAACAACACACCTCGTTGTCAAAAAGAAAATAATTGCCTCATGGCCTGCTTGTTTTTTGGTTTCATATCTAAATGGAATTCTAATAATTAATAAATTATATTTTGCAGTACATAAATGAGTTCAAATTCTACCTAATAGGGACAAGAGGAAGTGAAGAAAGCATTATCTATAAACTTGTTCTTTTTCAAAAATACAGTAACACACATAATATAAGTGGCAAACATAGTTCAAGAAGAAATAGTATTGAGAAGCTAGTTTAAACAATGTATAAATCCTTAACACTGTGTTTGACGTTGAGATAATTGGTAATCAAACAACACCTACAATTGAGCTGATGACCAAACAACCAACTCCTGCAATATTATTCAGTTAACTCGAGGTTCTATAACTTTGCTGATTTCAATGACTAATCATTCGAAAACTCACAAGATTTGTTATTCTTCTACTTCCATTCAAGTATGTTCTACAAACAGGTCGACGATAGTGAAAAGATTAGCGCTTAAATTACTACTATAAAACGTAATGTAAGTAGTATGTAGGTAATGTGATTGTTTAATTCACAGGTTTTATACTAGAATTAATATCAGAACAAGTTGTAACCTATACGATTCAGTAACAGATTGCCAAAAAATCGTTCACTAGAAATAAGTTAAATTTTTTTTACAAAAACTTATATTTAGAACTCAGACGTATTATATCTACCACAGAACTACATTGAACGAATATTAGTTATTGGGAAATAAGTTCAAAACTACACACTCCCTGAAAACGTAAATGCTTCACGGTAGGAAAAAAATTAAATTTAGTGTGAGCCTACTAATGATCACTGAGTTGTAAATTGTGATGTGACGGTACAGTGTTAATCAGTACCACAGCTCTTAGGAAAAGCATCGGTACCGAGAATGAGAATCGAGATGCCATTAAGGGCAATTTGGTACCGACACGGGTACTCTATTGCCTGCATGGTTCAACAATCACTGCACATTAAAGGTACGTTTTGCCTGGAGCGACAGGTGCGACGGTCGCGCAGCGACCGTCGCTGAGCGGCAGTCGCGGGACACTGATCAAAGGGGTTTTGCATAGTCCTGTTTTGCTTGGAGCTACTGTCGCTAGAGCCGCGAGCTGCAGTCGCTGGGTACTGCTCCAAGACCAGTCAGGAGCGACGGTCGCTTAGCGACAAGTTAAATTTTAGTGGTGAGGAAGACTACAGTTTATTAGAAGAAGTGGCAAAACACCCCGCGCTTTATATTATATCCTACAAAGACCAAGGAATAAAGGACAACGTCAGGTTAGTTTAATATTATGTTATTATATTATAAGTTATTTTAACATATTATTAGATTATTTAGATTGTCAACTTTAAATACTTCTAATTACATTTTCGTTTAGGTGATTTAATAAAATATTGTTCTGTATAAATGGTTGTTGATCAAATTGGCTTAAAAGTCAGGCGTGTCATATGTAAATATATACAATGCCAATTATTAAAGTAATGTGTTAAGAAGAGGCTATTCAAATATTAATGGAGTATATAATGTAATTGGTATTTTTTTCATTTACTATACAATCAACAAAATATAATTTTCACTCTGTGAGGAGGTTGTTTATAATACTGATTTCCAATTCAAGTTATGCTTGTGTACTACAGTACAATTGAGTAATTTTATTACATTTTGGATTGTGATATGGCAGTTTTGGAATGTTACTTATAACAAATAACTAGGCCTATAAAGAATACTTTATTGTTAAGTTTTGCCTGTTTTACTAAGTGAATTTATCGAATTTATTTAGTGACTTTATACTTAGTGCGCACTTTTGAGGTTAGGTGCACTGACGGTACCACGTCTCGTGACGCCAGGAAGAAGAAGTTGTCGCTCCAAGCAAAACAGTCTACCACCCCGCGACTGCCGCTCGGCGACGGTCGCTGCGCGACCGTCGCACCTGTCGCTTCAGGCAAAACGTACCTTAATAGTGAGTCCAAACCGAAGAATGAAAAATTGGGAGAGTGATTTTAGCCGCATCCGTAAACATATGTTGTGATTACGATGACATCGTAAATTCTCCCGCAATAACATTAAAATCCGTGATCACCTGTCGTAATCGCAATTTATACTTAACGCGATACCTTGAAATATGAGCTAATAAACATCGTAAATAATATACGCTTGATTGTCGGTCACTGGCGATAGTCATTGAAAAAATGTAAATTTCTATGTCCTATACTAAATTGACTTACAATGGACTTGTGGACGGTCATCAATACTCGAGCGATGCACTTTTGCCTGTCACTCGTTGCCTGCATCCTAATTAATGGCACCTGATAGTTTTAGACTGTCAAAAAAGCTTCCACGATGTGCTGCTAGAGCGTGCTCAGTGTTCGTCAATTCGCTGCCGTCGTCGACTCGCCATGTAGTGTGCTACCAGCAATACCACCCTTCCAACGAAATGCTACCAACGTAACAGACCCAATTTTTAATATGGGTTAAGTACAAAGTTATAAAATCCCGTAATTTTAACGGAAAGCCAATTTTTTCAAAAATCCCCGGATATTTAAAAACACTGAAATATACCGGAACTCCTGCGGAATTCTCCAGAAGTTGGCAACCCTGGCTCCAACTACCAACTTGTCATGGCAACGCTTGCTAGCGCTTGACGCTGCAGTGGTTTCCGAAACTATACAGCACTCCTAGTGGTGGACGCCAGAATATGCTTACCACAGCACTGCTGTGTATGGTTTTATTTAATTAACTGTTTTTTTTTCTTTCTTTGGCTATCAAGTATAAAATTAATCAAAACTTCGCGATTCTACGAAATGCACTGACACAACTGTAGCTAAACACATAGCTAACAAAGCATGGTTTGATTTTATTTTGATCCAATATCTTATGATGGTTTTATTTTTATTTTATTGAATTATGTATTGACATAGCCTATTATGTAATGTTTAATGGCCAAATAAACAATTTGAATTTGTAATATAGATTTTTTTAAATATATAGTATAATATTTGTAAAATCCAAAACAACGTTTCATATTGTCTCCTAAGATTAAATTATGTGAAATTAAGTGTAAGAAACCACTCCAAAAATAAAAAATAAATAAATAGGAAATTTTAAATTAAAAAGAAATAAATAGGAAGTATTTATGTAAATAATCTCAAAGGAATGTTTGTGGAAATTTTCTCTGAGTTTGGAATTCAATTAAATATTCACTGCTGGAATGCAATTACAATAGTAAAGTCACCTTCTCTGACCCTAATGTCAGTCACCTTTCCTGTTAAATTTAACCTATTCTAAAATACTAACTAACTATAACTAATAACTATTATATTATAAGCTCTAACTAAGAAACTTCTTATATTAATAACTCAGTCCAACCAATGTTATTTATTATTCTTCGATCAAAGATTTGTAGTCTTATCATTTTTCATCTAAAAAATTTCACTTTAAATCGATTCCTTGTTACTATAATAGCTATGTATAATAGTTTATTGATATGTACAATATTGTTTACAGCATAAGAGATCAATATATAGTTGATCTATAGTTCTATAAATTGAGTTATTATTGTTTTATTTATTACCCATAAAACATGTGATAGATCAAATCAAATTACATTGGATTAGAAGAAAAAACACTAATAATTTTCCTTTATAAGGCGTAGATTATGTTCCACTAGAAAAATCCCATACTTAATATTAAACTGGTTATTAAATAAGCTCAACTTCTGAAATTAAATATATGACTGACTCATTCTCTAATATTCTTGATTAAGGTTTACGTATAAAAATTAATAGGTTACTCTTAGAATATTGATAATACCATTTTTATATTCAGTGTACGCTTTCCTGTCACATACTACCGATTTGATAATTTCACTGTTGCATCGTAAACCTGATAACAATATGTAACTCATAAAATGTTATACTACTGAGGTTACTGACACTCTCTAACCTATTTATTTCTTACCTTTATAAAGTTTCAATTTGTATTAGAATTATTAATAAACGTTATTGTCTATCTGACACATACTTTCTCCCGTTAGCTTGTCAACAACCCTTATCATTGGTAAAGGGTGGGAGTAACCATAATATTTTATGGGGAAATCACACAAGCTGCATTAAACCTTTGAAGCTTAATGTTTAAAGCAATAGGGGTTGTACAGTTTTGTTTCAAGTTAAAAAGGATATACTCTATACTTTTGTCCAACCCTGTATTTGTTTTGCATACATATAACACGTTTAGATTTAGATTTGTTTTGCATGTTTCCTATGCAATAATTGGTGTACCAAGTTGACGAATTTAACTACTATTATTCAATTAACTCATACTTTTTTTTTCTTTTAGCAACTTATTACCAAAACATACTACCTCAAAACGTTTTGACGTGGTATTTGTATAGAGTTATGGGAAAATTAAACACTATAAAGACTGTTAAATATTGCTTGAAGAAACTGGGATAGCTAAGTTAGCGAAAGGCTTAGGCAAAGCACTGGCCATAAACATTGACAAACAGCCACTTTAAAAGAGCTCTTTAATATATTCTAAATTATCTCCAACGTCCTGGAAAACA